GGGTTAACTCGGCAGATTTCCTCTCTCAGAACTCTTCTTTCTCTTCAGTGTCTGTTGGTGGATTTTCAGGAGATTTCTCTCTTCCATTGGCAGATTTCCTTCCAGAGCCCCCTCCATTTCCCTCTCGTATTCCCTCACCAGCTTGTAGGAGACTTCCTTCAGCTCCAGCTCCAGCCTCACCACAGCCTGCCAGCCCTGGTCCAGGTCTGGAAGAGCTCATGGCCTGTTGACTGCCTCCACATAACCTCCAGCTAGAGCTGCCAGAGCCTTTCCATTCAGTGTAGTAGTCCACGGCCTTCTTTGGGGCTACCTTCTGGAGGACTTGCTTGATCGGAGGATCGACTGCTGCATTGAAGGCTGGTTTGAGGTTGTCTTGCTGCTCCACTATGCCACAGATGATGTCTCTCTTGGTGGAAGGAATGGGGAGAGTGGCGCACTCCAGAGAGGGGAAAAGACTGACCAGAGACTTGCCCAAGCCTGTGAGCTCTCCTGATTCAGATGCAATGACCCGGGTGTGAAGAAACTCAGTCGGCCCCACCTCCTTACCTTCCCTGTCAGTTATCTTGTGACTCACGTCTCGCAGCAGCCACAGAAAATGAGGAAAGAATGCTTTTTTCTCCTCGGTTGATATCGACTCACCCACATTGAGCAAGGAGAGAGGCGGAGAGTTGGGAGAAACACCTCATCTTGTCAAGGTCCACTTTCTGAGGCACCTTCTTGGAGTTGTAGATGAGGATGCAGCTGAGGAGAGTGGTGAGGGTGAGCAAGCTCATGGCCATGGTCTCAGAGGCTCCAACAGCATCGATACCCTCCGTATCCAGGAAGACAACGGCAAAATCCTGGCACTCTAGGACAGTGGTGGCCATCCAGATACCTCGAGTGCAGGCCTGCATGCTGTGGCCCTAGCTTGAAGCTCCAGGGCTGCCTAGCACGCGAGAGATGAAGTAAGACTTGCCCGAGCGGTAGGGCCCACAGATTGAGAGGACGGCCAGTGGTTTGCCAATGCTGCAAAGTATCTGTACTGCATCATCCACTAGGTTGAGGCTGTGGTTGTTGGGGACTTGTTTGTGAGTCTCCAGTTGGCATGAGAGAGGGTACCAGTTGTCCTGACTGGAGATGATGAGAGGGATGGAGGGAGGGAGGGTCTTACAACCTGCCAGGGAGAGCTTGCGGGGCACTAAACTCTGTGGAAGACACTCTTTGGCCATTTTCCAATGACTGTAGCTGACCTGGGTGTGTTCATGTCGCCGGCAATGTAATTTTGTCTATACAGGAAATGGAATAGTAAAGTGGTCGTTGCCTTGCCCACTCTCGATCTCGTAATCGCCCCTGAAAAGACGAGCCTCTCTGTCGTGAGGACTTTCGACGGCCGGGCTACTACAACTGTTGGTAGTATAGACACTACATATAGCATACATCGGTATCTGGCTTTGTAGCTGACTAGCTCACGTCACACACTGACATGGGGTTTTTACTATAATCTGAAACTTGGCAATATTTTCGAGGAAATGGGCGACCTCACCACACAAACATTTTTACACACTACATAGATGCAACCACCCCACCCTGTAGTAAGGAAGGACAGTTGTCTAGTAACTATGAAGCAAGTAACGCTTAGACAATGCAGAACCGTGCCCTTGCTTAAAAATACTAGCTAAGCAACCAGGTGTCTGCTTATGCTACATAATTATGTATCATTGTTTAGTGTTTGGTGACACCGCAAATCACATCCAATGATTCCTGCTGTGTTAAATAGTGACACAAACTAGTTGGTGCTAGCTACCCTGCCTCACATTAGTCACAAAACATTTTGTACTTCGCTCCCCTTCAGCCTTATATGTACTGTAGGGGCAGTTAACAGTAGACTCACAAAAAAGCAGTTGGCATTAAGAGACACCAAAACGCTCTATACACCATGTGTTGTATGGCGCACCGTTTGTGTCAAAACGAAATTTTCCTGTAAATCTCAGTAATCATGGCGACGAATCGATTTTCGGGGCGCCGATTCTCCTTTCGTAGCGACAATTCTTCTTTCAAGCGACGAAAGCTTTTCAAGGAAACTAATCTTGGATTGAGGACGACGACCAGTTATATGCGGCACGAAACTTTCCTACCGCGACGATTCATGAATAATGAAAAGCACTAAAGTGCAAACCCTCGGCGAAGTAGCTCGCAGAGAGTCTGACACGGGCTAGCTACAGTAGTAGATAGCACGCGAGAGTCGATACTTGTGCCATCAAGATAGACAGAGCAAGCGGACCCGGTCGAGGTAAGCCTGTGCTAAATATAAGCGCATGCGTGTTATCCGCCAGCGATAAAATGGCGACTACCGGCATTAGCCGTACAATGGTGGAAGCGCTCTAGCTCTGCAACGGAGCATTTTCAGAGAAAACCCCACATATTTTCTGACCTTCGTCGCCCGTTGGGTAGATGGTATCGTTTTTGGGACGAACAGACATTCGAGAGGTGAGATGTAGAGTAACAGACACACACACACAGACAAACCCAACTACAGTACCCTCGCTGCGCATGCGCGCCGAGGGTAATGATCCAGGTGAGAGAGTTCAAAGGGTAACTTACTGGAAACCCAGTAGTGGCGGGACTTTGGAAGGTACCGATCAATGTACTGTATTGGCTACAGGCCCTCTAGGCACTCTAGGAAAGTTGACCTTTCAACTCTCCTACCCGATCACAGAATATCGTCGCCTTACCTGGTCGCCGCCTCAATCCAAGATTTTTCGCCTTTATGACAGAATTCTCTCCCTCGATAAACGATCGTCGCCGCGAAAGAGATACGTTGCCACGAAAGGAGAATCGTCGACGCGAAAACGATTCGTCGCCTCGAAAACGATCTATTACAGAGGTTTACGGAAAAATCACACAAACGGCGCGCCATAAATGAAGTGCAAACCCTCGGCGCGCGCACTGAGTGACGCGCACGCGTAAGTAAACGCATACGCCGTACCACTAATTGATGGGCTGGGTATAGTTTTAGCTGTTACATACTCGTGGTCTCTTGCCAGCTCGAGCAGAGTCTGACAAGGGCTAACTACACTACTAGATAGCATGCGAGAGGCGATACACGCCCTGCGTTGCATCTTCTGGTGCCTCCGAGGTACGCAGAGCACGCGGATCGATCATGCCGTACTAGGTAAGCCGTTGTGTATTTGCATTTTGGCATTTTTCGCGCTGTAGCTCTGCAACGGAGCATTTTTACAAACCCCCCACATATTTTCTGACCTTCATTGCCCGTTAAGTAGATCGTATCCTTTGTGAGGCGAACAAACACTCGAGAAGTGAGATTGAAAGTAACAGACAGACACACAAACCCAACTACAGTTAACCCTCGCTGCGCATGCGCGCCGAGGGTTAACTAAGTCAAAGACAGCTTCTCAAATAATTATACACGCAGCGCATGGTATCTATGGGCTTCTGTGAGATATTCACTTTGTCAAACACATACTGAAGGTGGATGCAGCTGAAATTGCAAACAAGTTGTTTGTGGCCTTCCCATATGCACATGCATACACACATTCCTTATGCAAACGAGCAAAGATAACAATACGAAAATCCCACAAGGATGTTCTGTCACACACAGTCTCCATATTTAATGGTAGCTATGGCATTCTGTCTCTTTCTGAAATCTTCTTCAAAATGTAGCGAGCGAGGTGGTAAAGAGCCCAGGCTGACACAGGGAGTTGGGATGTTAGAAATATGAGAGTAAACATCAGCCTCAGTGTCACGGTGGAGGTGTTCAGATCATTAATCCAGATGTAGAGTGTCCATTGAAATGCCCAAAACAATACAAAATAGAAGCTAAGTGACATGTTTGCAATCATTGACTTAAACGGTCTACTATACGATACAAATAATGATAATGCTAGGAGGAAGAACGATGTGGGTCTGTTAGTACCAAAAACTGAGGTGGTGTTTGTCATGATATGCCACAAAACAGTCAACAAAGGAATTCCAAACATTACGACCCCAGCCAGTGGCCTATAGTCTGTAGTGGCTTCAGCAAATGCAGTAATGGCCAGCTGTTTTCTCGTACTAATGAAACGTGAAAGACATCTGTAAATTCTAGTTGGGTAGATGACGAGTAGCAAGAGTGGGAAAAACACCAAAACTAGACACTGGACGAATGCTACAACAAAAAAAAGAATATGTGTAAGACTGAAGTATTGGACGCTACTGTCAGCAGAAACAACTTGTTTAGTCAATCCATCAGTATTGGAGAACACTGATGTGGACCCGACACAAAGCATAAAAGGTCTTAAATGTTTTTGTTGACGACAGAAACAAGAATGTGGAAAAGGTGTGTATCACTGAATTACTAGTGACTTCTCTGCTGCAGTTTAACCTCTTGCAGAGGGCACTAAATGGCTTTGTGAAAAGACTAATAGCTTTACACCCCCTCGAGTGTAGGTCAATGGCAGTGATGTAAATGATGACAAGAAAAACTAGGCAAATGCTACTTACTGAGTCAAGCAACGTTATGTGCAAGTCTGTAAGTTTATCACTGATACAAAATGGGGGGATGAGAGGTGTGAGCAAATTTAGAGACCAAAACTCAATATTCCCTGGAAAACTGACTCTGCTACACATACACGTTCTGTTGGTTGAGAGATCTTTATAAAAAAGGAGAGCCCTTGACAGAAAAGCAAGTATTCCCATCATTGGTCCAGCAGTGAGGTTAAGACGGAAGATTGTCACAAACAAGAAGAATATGCTCACAGGGACAAACTCTACCAGTAGATACAGGAAGATTGCAGATCCAGTGGAGAACTTAGAGCAATCGACACATTTATCATTCAAAGTTACCCCAGGGCCGTACCCGTCGATGCACTGTCCACACAATAAACCCTTTCTATTGTAGGGACCACACATTGTGTGGTTCAGGAGATCGGGGTCTGGAGTCAGCAGGGAGAATAGTCTGTTGGTGTGGTTGAATCTGTAGCTGAATGGACAGTAGCCCACATAGAATAGACCTTCGTGCCCGGAATAGGTCATGCAGAAATCATCCATTAACTGAACCTCCATTGACTCCTGGTTACAGGTGATCCAGCTATACTGAGCCCCACACTCGCACCTCTGAGTGACATTGCTGTAGTAGAACCAGGTCGGACAGCTGTGGTTGTTGCTGGTACTAACGGGTAGTGAAGTAACAGCCAGAGACATCAGCATAACAATCCAAACCAACTGGGCCATGGTAGCCTTTCTGTGCATTCTGATTTGCTCTCTGACAGGGACTGATTTTACCTCCACTAGGGAAGTCAAGTGTTTGTTATCCCAACTTTCAATATCCACCCCTTGGTATTGCCCCCAACCTAAGTACACATAAGAGTCTATACATTGGTAGATGTAGTTATGCACAAATCTCACATTAGCTGATTATAGTGTACACTGTTTGGTGGTAGAACGGCTGGTTGGATGTTTCCTGGATGATAATAGCCTCGAGGTTTTGATAATGGGGCAAGAGTAACCTTTGACCTCCTAGCACCAAGATGGATGCAGGCATGGCACAAGTACAGGCAGTGCAGAAGCATTGGAGAGCCACTTTGGAAGAGTAGAGAAGTTTATTTCAGACACCTACTTCACAGATGTCAACCTCAGAGGAAGGCAAGCTCTACATAGCATAGAGTACACGCTAAGTATTTCATTTCCTAGACTGTACTCTGTAAGGCTCCCCCTACCAAGTGTCCACTGGTACAATGCCGGCCAACAGAGGATCAGTTTTCAAGCTGCTCAGCAAGCCCTCAGCTCCACTACGGAAGTTGCTACCTAAAGATGTGTCACTTGGACCAACGTGAGAGACATACCCCAAAGCTTCCCACCTCCATACTGAGTTCACTTGTGTCATACCTGCAAACATCCAGCTTTTACTTCGGAATTCAAGTCCACCCACAAGAAAAATCTTCTTTTTGTGTGTGATACATTATGGAGGGCCAGCAGACATTCTCTGTGTGTAAGCTAGCAGCTAGCAGTTTTGAGACCGTGTTACTGTAGTACCCACTGGTTTAGTGTGTGTCAGTTGCGACTCGGTGTGTGTTATTGTCTGTCTAGTTGGAGTACCCATTGGTTCAGTTTGGAAGTGAGAGTCCCTGATGAGTGGGTGGGTAAAGAGGGTGCGGTTTCGTTGGGACTCGGGGGTGAGGCTATGTATGGGATCCAGGGAGAACCATTGCAAGTAAGATGTTTGTGGTTTGAGGCTTGCCTTTATGTTGTATTGTGTTGAAGATTTGAACCCTTACCAGCTGAGTTGCCCTGGTAGCTCAGTTGGTAGAAGCGCTCGCCTAGACTGCAGAGTGTCGTAGGTTCGAATAGGGCGCTCTTCAAAAAGAGCTGTCC